TCCCTCACTGTGCTTCTTGCAAGTCTCTTCCACTGCCCCTCTCTCCTGTCAGTGGAGGATCCAGACCCTTATCTCGTGAGGGGCACTCATAGATTATTTAAAGAAACAACCCAGACACAATAACCACTTCAGCTTTCTGTGGTGGTTATGGTGCCAGGGGTGCCGTGGTGCCCTCCCAGAGTAAATCAGGGCCGCCACCAGAAATTTTGGGGCCCCCGACAAAGCACAAGGTCTGGGCCCCCCACGCCGCCCCCCCACACTCCCCCGCCTGGCCGGCCTCCCTCCCACAATAAATGCAGTGTGTGTGTTAATGTAATGAATGCAGTGTGTGTGTCAGTGTAATTAATGCAGAGTGTGTGTCAGTGTAGTGAATGCAGAGTGTGTGTCAGTGTAATGAATGCAGTGTGTGTGTTAGTGTAATGAATGCAGTGTGTCAGTGTAATTAATGCAGCGTGTGTGTTAGTGTAGTGAATGCAGTGTGTGTGTCAGTGTAGTGAATGCAGTGTGTGTGTTAGTGTAATGAATGCAGTGTGTGTGTCAGTGTAATGAATGCAGTGTGTGTCAGTGTAGTGAATGCAGAGTGTGTGTTAGTGTAATGAATGCAGTGTGTGTCAGTGTAATGAATGTAGAGTGTGTGCATCATCGCTATATATAGGTGCAGAGAGTAATTGTGGGACCGCTGGGCCCGTGACTACTGTTATGGTTGTCACCCCCTGATGGCAGCCTGGAGTAAATAGTCAAATCGTTTAAGAACAGTTTGACAATTTACCTGGGGTCTGTTAGGATAGGGGCTGTAGTATGGGGATAGGGCCTCTATCCTAGGTATGTATGTGTGTGTGTGTGTATGTGAGACAGTATGTGTATGGGTGTGCAGTGGGAGCACTGTGTGTAGGAGAGGCAGTGTGTGCTTGTGTGAGTCGTGTAATGTGTGCATGGGAGTGCAGTGTATATATGGGGTGCAGTGGGAAAACTGTGTGTATGGGGCCAGTGTGTGTATGAGGGTGTAGTGGGGGCAGTATGAAGGTGTAGTGGGGGCAGTTTGTGTAAAAGAGTGCCGTGGGGGCAGTGTGTGTATGGAAGTTTAGTGGGGGAGTGTGTGTATGGGGGGTGCAGTGTTTCTGTGGGGGTGCAGTGTGTGTGTGTGTGGGAGAAGTGTATGTATGGGGGTACAGTGGGGGCAGTGTGTGTATGGGGGTGCAGTGTATGTATGGGGGTGCTGTTTGGGCAGTGTGTGAAGGGGAGAAGTGTGTGTATCGGGGTACAGTGGGGGCAGTGTGTGTATGGGGGTGCAGTGTATGTATGGGGGTGCAGTTTGGGCAGTGTGTGAAGGGGATAAGTGTGTGTATGGGGGTACAGTGGGGCAGTGTGTGTATGCAGGTGCATTTTGGGCAGTGTGTCTATGGGTGTACAGTGGGGGCAGTGTGTATATGGGGGTGCATTTTGGGCAGTATGTGTATGGGTATACAGTAGGGGCAGTGTTTGTATGAGGGTGCAGTTTGGGCAGTGTGTGTATGGGGCTGCAGTGGGGGCAGTGTGTGTATGGGAGTGCAGTGTATGTATGGGGGAGAAGTGTGTGTATGGGGGTGCAGTTTGGGCAGTGTGTGTATGGGGGTACAGTCAGTGGTGTATCCTGGTTTTGTGCTGCCCTAGGCAGGACAAAACTCAGACGCCCCTCTCCCCCACGCCACTGCCACCCAACCCTTCCCCCCGCCCCGCCTTCTAAATTCACACACACACATTAACTGACAGATATGCATACACTAGCTAACAGAAACACACTCACACTCACTAACAGACAAATACACACTTACTAACAGACACACACACTAACAGACACACACACTCACAGGCAAACACACTCACACTAACAGACTTACACTCACTCTCTAACAGACATACACTCACTCGCTAACAGACACACTCACACTCACAGACACACACACACACTAACAGACACACACACACACACACACACTAACAGACACACACTAACAGACACACTCACTAACAGACACACACACACTAACACACACTAACAGACACACACACACTAACAGACATATGCTAACAGACACACACACTAACAGACACACTCACTAACAGACACACACACACTAACACACACACACACACACACACTAACAGACACACACACACTAACAGACACACACTAACAGACACACACTAACAGACACTAACAGACATACACACACTTACTCACTCACATTAACACATTTTTTATTTTTTATTTAACCCCACCCCCCAGCCTCCTTACCTTTGGGAATGCTGGGGGGGGGTTCCCTCTCTCCCTGGGGGTGCAGTGGCTGCTGGGCGGGCGACGCAGGCGGGCTGCTGGCGGGCGGCTGGCGAGGGAGCACTTCCTCTGAGATGACTGCTCAGCTCCCTCGCGCGCCGCAGAGTGATGCCGGGAACCGGAATATGACGTCATATTCCGGCTCCCAGCCTCACTCTGCGGCGCGCGAGGGAGCTGAGCAGTCATCTTAGAGGAAGTGCTCCCTCGCCAGTGCCGCCCACCCGATCGGCATGTCAATTAGCCGCAAGGCTAACAAGACATTTGCCCTGGGCATTTGGGGCGGCTTTTTTTGCCACCCCCTGGAAAATGCCGCCCAAGGCAAATGCCTTGTTTGCCGCGCGGCTAAAATGTCCCTGGGTACAGTGGGGGGCATTGTGTGTATGGGGGTGCAGTGGGGGTAGTGTGTGTGGTGGGGCAGTGTGTGTGTAGTTGGGGGGGCTGATTAAAACAAATAAGTGTTGTTGTTTTTTTAAATAAAAAAAATATGCTTTATATCCCCCCTCCCTTCTTACCTTTGTCCAGGGAGGGGAGAATATAAAGCATATTTTTTTTAATTTTTAAAAATAAAACACTTATTTGAAATTGCTCTTATAAAAAGTATTCCCCCTCCCTTCTAACCTTTGCCCAGAGACAAGGGATATCCATTCTGTGAAGCCTTGGTGGTCCTCGTGGAGAATCCCTGGCGGTTTTAGTGGGGGAGTGAACTCTAGCCTGCACCTCCTGGGCTAGAGTTCGCACTCGCGATAACGGAGCATTGCCATGGTAACCGCGGCAATGCTCCGTAAGCTGCAGGTAAGAGCTCCCGGGTTTCCTCTCCCTCCTCTCTCCATACCGACCGCCCAGCAATGTGCCAGTGGACCGGTGAGGGAGATCTCTGATCTCCCTTCCGGTCCGTGAAGGCACTTAGCAGGGCCAGCGCTTGGATAGCACCAGTACTGCAGGAGAGAGCATCGGCTCTTGGGGGGGCAATTGCCCCCTTCCTTTGTTCTAAAAAAAGTCACATTTGAGGTAGAGGAGGCAGAAGAGAGGAATGAAAAATCGGATTGTTGGATTGCCCAGGAGGAACCTCTCTCCTTAACAGAGATTAAAGGACCACTATAGTGCCAGGAAAACATACTCGTTTTCCTGGCACTATAGTGCCCTGAGGGTGCCCCCACCCTCCGGGTCCCCCTCCCGCCCGGCTCTGGAAGGGGGAAAGGGGTAAAAACTTACCTTTTTCCAGAGCTGGGTGGGGAGCTCTCTGCCTCCTCTCCTCCTCCGATCCTCCCCGTCGGCTGAATGTGCATGCGCGGCAAGAGCTGCGCGCATTCAGCCGGTCGCATAGGAAAGTATTCATAATGCTTTCCTATGGATACTTGCGTGCTCTCACTGTGATTTTCACAGTGAGAATCATGCAAGCGCCTCTAGTGGCTGTCAATGAGACAGCCACTAGAGGATTTGGAGGAAGGCTTAACCCATTGATAAACATAGCAGTTTCTGAGAAACTGATATGTTTATAAAAAAATGGGTTAACCCTAGAAGGACCTGGCAACCAGACCACTTCATTAAGCTGAACCTAGAGTGGTCCTTTAAGGCCCAAATCCATCATCAAGAGCTAATGGAAAAGGTGGCATACTTTAAAGATAATAATATTGCTACCTACAATAAGATAAGGAGAAATTGGTTAGACTATTACAAAGAATAAAAGCTTACCTTTAAGTAAATCAAACCCCTGCATAGTTACACTTATTTGCTAAACCATTAATAATATTAATCCGAAAGTGGTTCTGGGTTAAATTAATATATTAATGAAATAATATTGCGCCCATATCTCTGTTCTCAATGGATGCCCCTATGTCTTATATGTTGTATCTGTTATTTATGTTGTATAGAGTATGTATTATTCACTTCTGTAGATTTAAATTTGGATAAGCAACCCATTTTGGGAATATATTAATATCTTAGATAGTGATACTTAAAGATTTCCATTTTGAGGAATATTAGTTGAGAATTAAATTACGTCTTAAAAAAAAAAAAAGAAAGAATAATCGTATTGCCTTAAAACGTTCTCTCCTTCTGGTACCAGGTATATACTTGATTTCTAGAGTAAGCTAATACATCCCTTTGGAATTGTTTCCTCCATATAAAATCCTCTGTTTATTTTTGATATTGGGCTAGCTTTTCTTCTGTCTGGTTTTTGAGTGTTGCAAATTCACCAATCGAGGTAAGTGCCTCAATCTCCCTTTCTAATATTGCTATCTCTTTATTGAGTTTTGTCAACTCTTTTTGGAATTATTCAATTGTCTATATCAGGGATAGGCACCCTTCGGCACTATAGATGTTTTGGACTACATCTCCCACGATGCTTTGTGAGCATTATGGCTGTAAGAGCATTGAGGGAGATGTAGTCCACAGCATCTGAAGTGCCGCAGGTTGCCTACTCCTGGTCTATACCATCAAATCAATTTAGCACTTGTTAAAGATCTTGTGCCATGTGGTACAATGCTCAGGGTTATGCCTACAAAGAGTTGGATACAGGTGAACCTGTAAATCCCATGGGATTCTCTTTTGTCTGTCCAAGAATGTGCAGGTTCAGTTCCCAATTAATCCTTCTTTTACGTTTCCTTTTTAGTTTGTTTGCAATTGTGAGTTCTCCTTCATTCGTCAAAATTACGTGACATACGTAGGAGACATCTCAGACGCCCCCATGAGGTACACATTTACTGGAGATCTTTTCTATGAACCCACCTGGATTCTTTGGCTTCTTTTGGATCAACAGTAAAAACACATCTGAGATAGACTGAAATTGATGGATGCAAGTGTTTATTCATGCTATATAACTATGTATTTATGTAACATGATTGGATGCACAAAAAGGAAAGGTGGTAGGTATCCTCAGATGGTATATGGAATTAGATAAATGGGAGAATGGAGAAGTCTATAGTGTAATACCTTGTTTTTTAAATGAAGCATGGAAAAAAGAGATGCACTTACAGGATGTGTAGCTGTCAATTAATCCTGGTTTGTTGTGCTTTAGAATGTGTGGTGTATCTCTTTATCCAAATGAATAGTCTAAAGAGCATGCAATAAAAACAAAATTTACACTATATAGTGCAGTATGTAAGGGCAGTATAAGCTAGTAGAATAAGTAGTTAGAATTACACTCACATGTGATGGAACCTCCTGATGGCTCCTTTTTAAACAGCGTGTAGTGGTATAATCCCCACTCTTGGATTATTGGATAATTAGTGTCTTCTCAATGGTATGTATACAAGAGAACAAAAGCAACAATATAGTGAACACTGTATAAAAAAATAAGTGTAAATAAATGAAAATCAACTTGCTAGTATAAGAGCAAAGGTTAGGTTTAATCGAATCCATAAGGTAGTAGAATAAAATAGGATGGCCCAGGGATTTTGAAATAATATATCAATCTTTTTATGATATAATTAATATATAGCACACAATTGTAGATAGGTATGGCGTGAATAATGATGGCAGCACAACATCTTAAAATTATAAAATAAAATAATAAATATTAAAAAAGTTGAGTCTGGCCATCTTGACGGCCAGGCCCCATCCCAAATTGATCTTTTTAACTTTTTAATATCTCTATTTTTAAGCTATTGGGTTGAATGTTGTTTAATGTATCTGTTAGTGAATATTTTATTGTTATTTAAATTATGAATTTGCCCTGGCATTTTTACAGTTTTATGTGTGGTGACTTTTTATTTTTGTTCTCATATAACAGTTTTCTGTTTTTAGTCCATTTCTCCTGTCTGATATTGGCTTAAGATTTTATATTTATAAATACAGTAGCCAATATTCTGTAGCCCTACTTGTCTCCAGAGATCCAACCTGTGTATTGTATCTATTTTGCTAAGGTATTTAGAGCTCTAGGGTATTTAGCCCTCCCTTCATAATATATAATGCATAGCTGTTTTGTTAAAGCCTTCTGCTGTAATTCCCTCACCGATTGCATGAGACATGTGACCAACTATCAAGATCTCCCCATTCTCTACCTATAGTAAACATCTAATTTACTAAGTCCCATTTTTTTAAGCCTGATGAACCGCTCGGTGCCATCTCTGAACTTATTTTTTGATATTTTTTTTTATCATTTTAAGCTAATTTTAGGATATTTTTATCATAATTCCCTCCATATCATAGCAGAGTGTGAATAAAAGGGACACAACTGCCCTGCGTCATTCAAATGTACCAGTTTAGAGATTCAGTGTGGTCAAAGTTCAAGCATACTGGCTTAATGAACAATCACTGTACCTACAGACAATGGCGAAATGCATTTAAGTGAAAATAACATATCAAACCCACTAAACTTTTGGAAAATCATAACCCCCACAATCCACTCCAAACCCTCCACTGTCAAAATGGACAATCAAACCCTGTAATACCCCTAGATGTAGCAAATGCCTTTAATTATTATTTTGTTTGGTGTGCTACCACCCTGATTGCTAAGATGAAGAATGACAATTGTTTTCAGACCACACATGCAGATCAGGATCTGCTAAATCTGCAAATTCCTCAAGTAGAGAAATCCAATTTTAGACCTGTTCATGTTAGTGTCATTAAAAAACATCTTAATTTAAAAATGAAAAACCAGTGTGGACCAGATAGAATCCCAGCAATGTTGCTGAAGCTTAGTGCGTTGGCAATTGCTAAACCTGTCACTACCCTATTCAATGAATCCCTGGTGTCTGGATACATACCCAAACTTTTGAAGACTGCAAAAGTAATACCTATCCATAAACGTGGTGACAATACTTTGGTATCTAACTATCATCCGATATCATTGTTCCTGTATTGTCAAAAATCTTGGAAAAATGCAACTATGTGAATATTATCAACAATCAAACTATCTGACCCCTGATCAATCAGGCTTTCGTCCAAGTCACTCAACTATGACCGCCCTCTTAAAAGTTTGCAATGACATCCAAATTGGCATGGAACAAGGAGCTATTTTTCTTGATTTTGTGAATGCCTTTGACACAATAGACTTAAAAACTCAGATATTGGTGATCGTCCATTAACTTGGATTTGATCATATGTATCAGACTGATTGAATATGTGACCATTTCTGATAGCGCCTCCCTCCCTCTTCCAGTCACATGTAGTGTTCCCCAACGCTCCATACTAAGCCCTTTACTATTCAAATTTTTTATAAATAATCTGACTAGCGTCTGCAAATCCTCAACTGTACACATGTATGCAGACAACACTGTAATCTACGCTAGCAAACCCAATCTACTGCAGCATGAGTCCGTGCTCCAAGACCAGTTCACAGAGGTAGAAAAGTGGATAACAGTTAACAAACTCTTCCTAAACACTGACAAAACTGTTACAATGATCTTTGGAACTGTACCTAGATTACGTAAACTACAAAATCAACAACTGTGTATCAGAACAAATTAAATAGCACACTGACCGCAGTCAGTTCTTTCAAATATCTAGGTATGTTGCTAGACTCCAATTTATTATTTTGCCTTCACATTGAAAAAATCTCTTCAAAACTCTATCCAAAACTAGGTGCCTTGTACAGTACAAATCCTGATAAGCCCTACAGTAAGGAAACAGTGCAACAAATGCTAATGCCAGTCATTGATCATGGGGATGTAGTGTAACCCACCGTCATAAACTTAATACATTATATAATTCATTCTGCCGCTTTGTACTAGAATGTAATTACTTGACCTACCATTGTGACATGTTAAAAGAGCTAAACTGGCTGTTGCTGGAATCCCGACAAAAGCTTCATCTTTCCAGCCTTGTGCTTTTCTGGGAAGCTCCCATCCTATCTCAAATCCCACTTCCTATAACCTCCAGTACTAGCACAATATTTAGCAATACAAAAAAAAAGTAGCTTGATCCTGATTTTCCGCAATTATGGAATAACCTCAAGGACACAGTAAAATCTTCATTCAATCTAAAATCTTTTAAGAGATCTATGGTAATAAACCTCAATACAGATTATAATGCCGCTCCCACCTGTCTATCCTCCCTTATACACAAGTATGTCTCGTCTAGGCCCTTACGATGTGCTGAAGACTTACATCTATCTTCTGTCCATACTCCCACCTCTGATGCTCACCTTTAAGATTTCGCAAGGGTTCCACCGTTCCAGTGGAACTCACTTCCCTCGTCCATTAAATGCTCACCCAGTCTCCACTCCTTCAAAAAATTGTTAAAAACCCACTTCTTCATAAAAGCGTATCAATTAAACTGTTAATAGCTCCCGACAGATTCCTCTTCTGCAACTGTCACTAGTCTAATACTATCCTTACCTTTTTGTGTCATTTTACCCCACTCCCTCTAGCATGTAAGCTCATTGAGCAGGGCCCTCAACCCCTCTGTTTCTGTGTGTCCAACTTGTCTGGTTACAACTACATGTCTGTTCGTCTACCCATTGTAAAGCGCTGCGGAATTTGATGGCGTTATATAAATAACATAATAATAATAATGTGTTACATTTATATATGTGTATATATTATATATACATTGTTTGTATATTGTATTTGATGTAATATTGTATCCTATTGTAACAATGCAATGTTTTGTGGACCCAGGACTTGAAATGAGAGGAATCTCAATGTATCCTTCCTGGTAAAATATTTTAAATAAATAAATATGTACAATTGTGTGCTATAACTTGTAAAGTGATTTTTAATATTGTGTATGCAAATTGTATTACGGTAACTATGATGCCAAACTTTTCCACTACTATAAGTGCCCAGGTCATTGTAACACTTTGAGAATGCCTGGTTTTGTGGTGAAATGAGGTTGTGCTGTTAGTATACTTTGTTTTTGCTATTTTATCTATTTTATTTATATTCTACTACAAATAACCTCTGGCTAGGGTTTATATGGCATGCTGTCACTTGAAACCTACTACTGTTTACTTCTTTTTTGTCTTGTTTACTATATATATATATATTTTTCTATTACATTTAAAATGAATCATGCATCTATGGAGCTTCATATGCCTTTTAATTTGTAGTTGAGTTAAAGGAACACTATAGGGTCAGGAACACAAACAGATATTCCTGAACCCCGTAGTGTTAAAAATACAATCTAACCCCCCTTATCCCCTTAAATATAGCAAAATCTTACCTTTATTCCAGTCTGCTGCTACTGGCTCTGCCCTTGATCTGCCTGCTTGGCTGATATTATCATAAGTGATGTTCTGAACCAATCACAATGCTTTCCCATTGTCACGTATTCATCCGCTTATAGAAATGTGGTTAATGACATTTACTGTCCTCACAGGAAAAGTTGTGCCGAGCAGCAACCTAATCCACAGAAGGTTTAATGCTGAGCAGTAATTGTGCAAATGAAACCTGGTCTCATGTATTCATCCGCTTATAGAAAAGTGGTTAATGACATTTACTGTCCACACAGGAAAAGTTGTGCCGAGCAGCAACCTAATCCACAGAAGGGTTAATGCTGAGCAGCAAGTATGCAAATGAAACCTGGTAACTGACTTTGGGGTCAAAGGCCGGTTACAGCCTATCAGAAAGAAAGGAGGGGTATTTAGGCCCAGTTCTCAGCCTGCTCAGTGCCCTGTCGTGGTTTCCCTTGTGGTTGTCCGAGAGCGCGTTCCTGTTTATAGTTTTCTACCTGGTTTTTGACTTTGGCTTTGTTTATTGACTTCTCTATATTCTGGTATCCTGACTCCTGGCTTTCCTCATCGCTGTGTCCCTTTCTGTGTTCCCTGACCTCGGCTAGTATTTTTGACTATTCTTTGTACGTTAAATCCGGCCATTCTAAGGACCGGTAATACGTTACTTATTTGTCATCCGTGCTGTACAGTTCTACGTTCTGGATCAAACAGTAATCCTGACACCCATAGGAGGCAGATCAGGGGTAAGCCAGCACAAGCCAAACACAGTACTGACCAATCAGCATCTCCTCATGTGATGAATCAATGCATCTCTATGAGAAAAGTGCAGTGTCTCCACGCAGAGAGTAGAGACACTGAATGGCAGTGCTGTACACTGTGCAGCACTGCCCCAGGAAGCACCTTTAGTAGCCATCTGAGGAGTGGCCAGTGGAAGTATCCCTAGGCTGTAATGTAAACACTGCATTTTCTCTGAATATACAGGGTTTACTGTAAAAAGCCTGAAGGGACTGATTATACTCACAAGCTGTAGTTGTTCTGGTGACTATAGTGTCCCTTTAATGAAACATTAGTTTCAGTAATAAAATGTATACATAGAAACAAAGGGTTAGTCCACTCTTCGGTTAAGAGCTAGGGCACAAAGCCCTATGCATGCACCTTAAAATGTAACATGCATTTCTCTTGCAGTTATTCTTTATCTGTTCAAATAATAAATGCATCTTTTAAGGGTAACTGTTACGTTATTTTCATGGGTAACATATGCAGATCAAATATGACTATTTTCACAGATGTCCTGAAGATAAGGGATACACTTTGGTAGACAGACGTTTTTCTCAGTATCATAAGAGGTGAGCTATATAACACCTATTCAGTTGGAGGCTTTTATTTAAATTCTACAAACCATGAGACAATACAGAAAGGACTATCCTCGGTTTTCTATTATATGTTCAGAGATGTAGAATTGCTTTTAACATGATATGGCATATTGCTGTCACCCTTTAACATAGTATTTCATCTACAAGAAATAGAATTCCTGCTGTCTTCACCCAGTGTGCAACTCAGTAAATACCTTAATATGATTTATGAATTTGACACAGTGTAATAATTTTCCAATTATTTTTAATCCAAGCCTTTCTGGTTCATTGTTCCATGTTTCTATATAATTTGCTAAATGTTTAGTGCAATTTATCTTTCTGGTTCTTCTGTCACTTGTAGCTTCATTTGTACTAATATGAGAGCAGAACTTGCCTTGATTTTTGTTTTATCTTAATTTCATTTTTTTTTTTTTTTTTGCAACAAAGTAGAACAATAAATAAAAATATATAAATCCATCATGGTGACTAAACATGTTTCATAAGAGCTCCTTGGGACATAAATAGCAAAGTCCAATTACTGGCTGTTCTAACTAAATTACTGAAGCTTGCAACACACTCTCTGCTGTCTGATTGACAGACTGACTGACCATTCGGGGAAAGCTTCCCGCGATCACCAGTATCAGTACAGATGCTGATGTCAGCTGATATAAGTGTGACCTAGCAGGCCCTGAGGAAGGGTGATGTGGACGTCTCCTGGCCCAACGAAGGCAGAACTCAGAATCTTGCAATATTGGCCTGCTACCGCAATTCGACTTGAAGGTGCCAAGTCCCATCAGTGGTCTGTGGTGGTGCAGCAGAAGCCACTGATGCCAATGGTGGTACACATAAAATGGCAGATGCCACGTGTACCCTTGATTACCACAGAGAGGCATCCACCATTCTACACCACCTGGAAACAGTGTTTGATGCTTTCTGGAGGAAGCTGAGGAGAAAGCAGACCTTGACAGAGGTCATTAAGTCACCTCATAGACTGTCCAGACGACCCCCATGTCACTCTTCATCAAAGGCCCAGCACGCCTGTGGCAGCGGTGGCCTCATCGATATGCCTCGAAGAAGGCAGTGTGCAGACCAGCCCCACCACTGACCACCTCCAAGACAGGCAAGGGGACTATGTGGAGGGATGATAGATGGAGAGGGAAGCAGCTGCAAATACAAGACCCATGGCTTGTGGATCTTGATACCGCAAACTCTGAGTCTGCAACTCACCGCCAAGTGGGACTGTTATACTTCCAAAATGGAGATAGGCTGAACCTCCTGCTCCAGCTATCTTATCATTTTGTTATTCCCTAGAATGGCATGCTCAATCTGTTTACCTGCCTGATCTCACATGATTGCTGTTTCTTCTCTTTTTCTCACTCAACATTAGCAAGCCTCAGAAGTAAAAGCAGTCCTTTCTGCTGGAAGATAACTTAGACATCGTTACTTTTTATCTAGGGATTTCTGTGGGGGTACAACTCGTTTTCTTACAATCCCTATCATGTCTACTGACTATAATGGATTACTCTATAGTTGGATAAATGTGAGATTAGACATGTAGACTAGCTTATGTTCATTTATATTATAACAATTGTGCATATTTTCATAAGTGTCCCAAATGTTACGTGTGGTGATATGCTTGTGGTATGCTTTTGGGGCACCTTAAGCCTGATTGTATATTTCTGCACTGCAAAAATACAAATAAAGTGAAAAGACTACAGAACCTCTTTAATAGCGGAGCTTGTAGGCGACCTCCGATGTCTAGGTATAATCAACACAGAAGCGATTAATATATGGTCAATAATCATTTTGTCTACTTGTGTGACATTTTCAGGGAATTGTTTAAACAAAGCTAATTCAGATGTTAAAACAGAAATGGATGAGTCTTCTTCCACTATGGCCAAAATTACCCTAACATTTATCTGAATAAATCTGATAGATTCTATGCACTCTTTCTGGGGCCAGGTACCAACTATACACAATCTTAAAATGGTTTTCATGATGATTAGAACGCTGTGTTATGCCTTTTGAAGTAGGAAGTAAAGAGGTTCTGCCCACTGTTTAGGAAAATAAAAGCTGTGAACTTGCTCTCAGATAGCAATCGTTAATGTTGGATGATCTCAGGTACTACTGGGATTCTTTCAAAAAAGATGTGAAGAAACAGTACTTAATCAAGAGAAGGACACATAACAATAGTATAGTTTTTGTACTTGTTACATAGGTGATTGAATATGCTTTGTTATTCCTGGGCCATAGTCAATCAAATAATCCATTTTTTTTCTAAATGGTGTTCGACCCAGTTAAAATTGATGGATACAACCCCCGTCCACCCCCCATTTTTTTGGTATTGATTATTATTTGATTTACCATACGTAATATTTTCAAAGATGTGACATTGACTAACGCTTATATTGTGACCAATTTTTAGTTATTTGTCAGACATTTTGTGTTGAAATTATGTTCACTATTTTCATGATATGTTTTTGTATTTTTTCAAAGACTCCAAGTGTTATTTACAAGGTTTATTCAAACATTCTAATTATCAATTGATAATATTAAACAGAGTGAAGTCATTATTAAGAAGACTTTGTGACTTGCGTGGTCATAATCCTATTTAAAATGTAGGTTTTGGTTATGTAATTGGGTTTGTTTAAATAGATATTGTTATATGTGAATGGACAAAATAGGGATACAGCTGAATAACTAAAAAACATAAGAATACATAGCACATAGTGAAGTACCGTCACAATAATAAAATGTAAACTTCAATGATTGCACTCACAAAATAATGATGAATAATGCGCCTTTAAGCCCTCAATGGGCTGCAATAGTGTTCACCCTCCACGGATAGGTTGCTCTGTCTTCCAAGAAGTGGGAGTATGCCAGTATAGTATAAAAAAATCCTTTTATTGTTAAAGGCACTAATAAGCCTATATTAAAAATCAATAATTAAAATATACAAATAATACTGCATCTAACGCGTTTCGTCCATACAAATTGGACTTCATCAGAGAAAATTTTGCAGTATACACAATATGTAAAATACAAAGCATGCATATTCCCACCCCCAACAGAGTCCCTTAAATATAACCAGTCCGTTTGTTGATTGGAGGATTCCTTCGTGGACAACCCTTTTCAATAAAGGGAATCTTTTCCAGGTGATCTCCACCTTAAAATTCGCGGCTAAAAACAGCTGATTATCCGTCCGTGAATATTATGCGTTCCAAATTACAACTTCCGGTTGCGTTCCACATATGCATTTCCAGTAACGGGTAACAACGCACGTCACAGCCGCTGACGTTGCGTTCCAAGACCGGACCCATGCGTTCCAAACGACCAGCCCTTCAAGTGGCTAAGAAGACTAAAAAGAACAATCTTAGAATAATCCCAATCATTGATATAACCATTCTATTAATACAAATTAGATCATCATCAAATAGAAAAAAGGACTTCAATCCTCTGCCACAAAAAGGAATATGAAATAAGAATAATAATAAATGAATCTGTTTATATGTATAAAAATGTATATGTATATCACTATATAATATATAATAAAAATGAAAATAATAATGAAAATAAAATTAAAAATGAAAATAAAAATAAAAATAAAGATAAAGATAAAAATAAAAATAATAAAATAAAATAAAAATAAAAATAAAAATAAAAATAATAATAAAAATAGTAATAAAATTAAAATAAAAATGAAAAGAAAAATAAATATAAAAATAAAAATAAAAAATGAAAATAATAAAAATCTAATTAAAATAAAATACAAATAAAAATAAAAATAAAAATGAATGAAAATAAAAATAAAAATGAAATTAAAACTACAAATAAAATTAAAAATACAAATAAAATTAAAAATAACAGTAAGAATAAAAATAAAAAATAAATACAACTATAATATAGTGGAATGTATAACAGGCAGAAGATGGAAATCCCCCACTTTATAAATGATAACAACATCAAACCATAAAACTAGCCAAATCCACATCGATATTTAAACCTTTGGGTGACAGGGTGTCCAAATGGTAGATTCAATAAGTCTCCCGTTGTGCTAATTTCAATTCCCTATTACCTCGTCTCCAATGAGGGGACACATGTTCTATACCACAACCCCTAAAATCCCTCCAATTAAAGGCCTGGCAAGTGTTACAGTGAACTGGCACTGAATGAGTGGTCATACCTTTTCTTATATTGTTAATATGTTCCATAAGGCGTACTTTCAGGGGTCTCTTAGTCTTTCCCATGTATTGTTTGCCACACGGACACTGCAGCAAATAAACTACAAAGTCCGTGTGGCAACCAATACTAGATTTAACTGGGAAAGAAACCCCAGTGGCATGACTTGTGAACTGTAGAGTTAGGCCCAAGTTCATCCTTGAACAAGCCCGACACATCTGGCATCCTTTAGATCCCTTCATGTGGGTAATAGCTTTCTTTTTAGGTATATATTTTCTAGGATAACTTGGAGCAATTAAATCTTTTAAATTTTGACCTTTCCTATAAATAATAGATGGACGATCAGGGAGAATGTTTCCAAGAACTGGATCCTGTAGTAATATAGGCCAGTATTTTTTAAGGCACTTGTTGATTTTCCAATGATCAGTGTTGTATTTCGTTATGAATGAGTATCTAAAATGATCATTTGAATCATTCTTTGGATGGTTGATCAATAATTCCCTTCTATCTTTTTTCTTCAATATTCTAATTTCCTTTTCAATCATATTGCTATCATAACCTTTATTCACCAATTTATTTTTTATGTATTTTGCCTGAGTTTCAAAATCTTGAACATTAGAGCAATTCCTACGTACCCTTGTTAACTGGCTTTCGGCAATACCTCTCAGCCAGGGTTGATGATGACAACTTGACTTATGAACATAACTATTTCCGTCAGTTTTTTGAAAAAACATCTAGATCTAATTTTGTTCTGCTCCCAATATAAATTTAAATCTAAAAAATTTATAGTATCTTTATGCCACTCAGGTGTAAATTTTAAATTGAAAGGATTTAAATTAAGATATTGTACAAATAATAAAAAAAAATAATGGAAATTTTTAAAAATAATAAAAAAAAATAATGGAAATTTTTTATCCAGGGTTCAAAGAGCCAGATCACAGAAATGTGAGGCTTTATTTAATGAATGGGAAAAACCTGAGCCAATTAGAAAGTTAGAGGACTATTTTAAAACTAAAGAAAGATTGTTAATAAATGAGAATAAAAAATGGTGGGAGATAGCTTTCTTAGAAAATTATATTAAAGAAGGCCTTATACCGAGAGGCCTGAGGGTAGAAAAAACACCTGCTTTTGGTATGGAGAATGATGTTTTCATGAAAAAATGGGATGAAATTTTAAACAATTGTTCTTTCCAGCTCATGGAACTCATCATTCAATTTTCTAAAGAAATGAAAGCTAATCTTGAGGTACAACTACAGGAATTAGATGAAAAACAATCACTTGATTTAGATAGTCCAGAACTTATTCAACATGAGGAGGAATTAAATAATAAATTGAAAGAACTAGATGAAAGAATAGCGGAGACAAAAAGTAAAAAATATAGGAGAGACAAAGAAGACAAATGTAATAATGTTTTTTCTACAGTTAATAAAATGTCACGTAGAAGACGATTTACCAAAACAATTGCTTATAACAGATTTGAAGCTCAGAAAACAATTAATAGAAATTCTACTGGTACCAATCAATATAAATTGAAATCAAAGGATGGTGATAGGGAGATATATAGAACACAGAGAATATCACAAATAAATAAAGTGTGGCCAAATGAAAGAAATTCACGTTTCCATAGGTCTCCTCCGGGGAGGAGAACTAATGGTGATAAAAGGTCACCGAAAAGAAATGTAGATATAAGTGATACCACTGATAGGAGATCCTATGCGGATGTAACAAGAGAAAAAACTTATTGTAGAGAGAGAACCCCTCTTTTAAGCAATGGTAATTTTTTAGAGAGGAGTCAGATACAAAAAGAACAGCGGATAACAGACTATTTTTTACCACAAAAAACTTCTTGGGCACATCCAAACCGCTATTCTCCACTTCAAACAAAAACTCCCCTAAAAAGAATGAGAATGGAGGAAGAACCTCCAA